AGTACTTGCCCCAAAATTCTTGCAGCTCTTTCGTTAGCCTCTTGGCAGCCTCACTGACCCGTTTTATTTTTTATCTTGATAATGTGACCAATGCGGCATATTTTCTTCACTTGATGTTGTCACTCTGTATGTTCGGTGGCATATTTATTGCAGTGGAAATTCTTCTATACTATCCCTCTGACTGGTACTTGTATCTTATTTTGGGTCATAATGTTTGGAAATTATCTTGGGCACACTTGGCATTTGAACATGGGTGTGCAGACTTTTTTTTAACCCTTTCACGCACCCTGTAACTTGATAACATGCTAAGCTGTCCACTGTAGTAACCGCTGTCTCTGAAAGGGTTAAAACATCGATTTCAAAATCCAAGTAATCAACGGATGAATTGCTTATTGAAATAATCGCTTGGTTGCAGCACTACTAGATATAAATATAACAAATATAAAACATTTATTTACAATATTATGACTGTAGACCATGCCGCGTTGCCATATTGTTGGATTTAACATATGGAACGCTGCAGTTTTAAAAAATTTTTATTTTTTAAGCCATGAAAAAATTTGCAGTTCTCATCTGGCCACTTATGCCATGCGAGTATGATGTAAGCATCAGCAACGAAGTGAATGCAAGACTTTCACCAGCACTGAGAGCCACTATATTGACTGATAGGGACTTGGTCTTCAGCATAGTATGGCTGAGACTTTGCTGGCCTCCATGCAGCCATGTGTCCGTGTCACCAAGCTTTTATATTTAGTCGGGTCGGACATTCACTCGGCGAGACCTCAGCGGCTTCGGGTTTCGCGTGCGTAGAGAGATCACTGTCAGCGGCTCGTTTTTCTGAACCCCCCCGGAGGTCGAGGCTCGCCGAGCTTTTGAGGCCCCGACGCCGGGCCTCGCTTTTCACTGTCATCGGCTTGCAAATAATGTGTCGAGTGTGAATAGCTGGGCTTGTTATACGTCTCGCCCAGATGGAGCAGGTGGTGCGTCGTGTCCTCGCCAGCACATTTTGTCATCGCACCTCCCGCTTCTTTATTAGGAGGGAAGAAAGCTGACCTCCTTTAAACTCTCCGACCGAGAGGGCCCGCGTGGTGTTGAATTTCAAACAAAAGTGCAGCGGGGGGTTGGGCAGAGAGAAAGGGGGTGGCGTGGTGCGCGGCTCCCAAGCTGTTTGGAATTCACAAGGCGACATAACAAGTTGAGAAGCCCTCGTATCCTCTTGGAATTGATTTCCCGTTGGGCCTTGAAAATGAACGCTCCCAACAAGCCACTTGTGTGCAGCGCGGACAGGAAGCAGGAAACAATTTATCTGCAATCACCAAGGCCATAAACAGAACAGCGAGAGCAGCATCATCAAGAGAGACGATGCGCCCCCTCAGAGAATCGCCATTTATAGACGTAACAGCGAGAAAACTAATCCGCACGCAGCCATGCTTCTTGTTAACTTGAGATTTTGCGTTGCGTCAGATAGCACCTTGCCAATAAAGCAAAAACTGTCGGGATGGCCAATTGGCTACATTCAGTGATTATTGGTTGTATTCATAAATACCCGTAAAAAAATAATAAAATAAATAATAATAAAGTTAATGAGCCCTTTTTTTGTGCCCGGCGCATTCGGTCAATAACAAGCTTAAATAGACACTTTTGCTACAATAAGTCGTCGGGTGCATCGTTCGCTCAAAAATGCCTCTCATTTTCCATGGGGGAAACAATCGGGTGGTCAGTATGTGGCAAAAACTAGTACCTCTAATAACCTCACTTCATAGACGCCATCATACACATGAAAAGGAATTTTGTTGCTAACCAAAACAGCAGCACCCACTGAAGCACGTTTACGCCGGCTGCAATGAAATGTGGAGATTTGACTCATGTTGTGCCCCATTAAGTGGTCGGGATAATGGATGGATGGACCTAAAAATGTCAAGACTTACCACAAAGACTTTTTTCTAACACAGTGGCAAAGATGATTATAGGCTATTTGGAGTTGGTGTGTTTAACAACGGTTAGCGTTCCAGTGGACTCTGACGCACGGTTACGCCATAATGTTGTGTGAATCAACATTTGTGGCTTGGGGAATTTTTTTTTTTTTTTTTTTGGGGTTTTAAATTCTACCTTGACATGATGTGACTTGTGATGTATTGCTAATGTTGTTGAAAATACTAAAAATGCCTCTGCATGAATAAATAGCAATATGTAAAATACTGCAACTGCCGCCCTAATACACAACTAGTTGCTGTATTTCAATTGTCTGGTTGCACTTTGCTTTGTCTGGTTGGAGAGTTTATCGTCTTATCATGTCAACACTCATCTGGAAGTCATTGTCCTTGTTTGCGCACGTGTGTTGATAAGAAAACATGCCTGCGTGGCTGTTTAACAGCTGTACAAACCCATGTTATTTTCACCCCTGACCCTCTGAGATTGAAGTGCAATGATCCTTTTTTTTTTAATGGGGGTAGGGGGGTCGGGGTCGTTCAGCCAGATTCCCAGCATGCAGGCTGGAAGTCCGGCGTCCAAAACGACCTCCGGCGTCGGATGGTTTGTGTTCGTGCTCTGCCAACGGGGCAAAAGTGTAAAACGGTGTCAGCGAGCTCTGACCTGCACGAACTAGTTTGGATGGAAATGAAGGCGAGCGGCCCCTGCAAAGCCGCACGGGGCCAAAAGCAAATCTTGCGACACTACAACCCAGTGACACATACTGCCTGCTCTTCTCATTAATTCTGCACACAGCATTAACATGATCAAAAGTCCCGTAACAATAGTTGCTTTTATTTGGCCATTTTTTCCCCCCTAAAATTGTTTCAACCTTTCTTTATATTTTTATGACGGTTAGTAATGTTACAGGGTTATTTAACACTTGGCCAGTACTGTTAATAAATCGCTTTTATGGTGGCTGGAACCAATTAACTTGATAATATTTCCTATGGGAAAAGGGTTCTCTATTAGAACAACTCGCAAATCAAGTTGTGTTTCATTTGGGATGTTCCTCTCCTTTTTGTGGCTTTATAGACCAGGTTGACCTACAGCCAAGAGGGAAACATTCCCAGGAAAGGACCTGCTACTGTTCCAGCCTCGCTGAATCATTTTCCATCAGAGCTGAGCTTGTTTTTTTTTTTTTTTTTTTTTTTTCTTTCCTCTCTACGAGGTTTGAGGGAGACATTTTGTACAGACGTCTTGCTGTCAGGTTGCGTTGACAGCGGGAAGGCAAGCTGCCTGCTCTTGGAAGGTTTAGGATGACGGCCCGCCGTCGCCCGGGGGCGGATCATCGTCGTCAGCGCCCCCCACCCCCGCCCTCCACCGCTCCATGCCGGAAAAGACGTTCCCAGCCGAGACGCGCACGCCGGCGCTTCATTCAGCTGCCTCGCACAACGGCGTTCTTTTATCCGCTGCCTTCATTTGAAATGCTAAGAGCAGCGCAACAGGCGGAAGCGTCTCGCGACGGATCAAAGCGACGCCTTTGATGCGCCTCCATTCTCTTTCTCCGTTGTTCACGAAGCACGTGATCGCTATCCTGCACGCCGCATAAACGCATCCCCCGTCTCTAATTGCCCCCCTTTCTTGTTCCACCTTGATCCGCCTCCATGCTGCCCGTCTAGAGGGAGATGGGAGAAAAAAAAAGCCGCTTCCCTTTCCTGCTCACGCCATCATTTTACGCTTTCGATTCCCCACCAAGGTGCTGCGGCACATGAATATGGCGTGATTAAGGGCGCGACAAAAACAGATTTACATCGCAACAGCGGTTTTGATTGAAAATATGCGAAGGGATTTTAATGTAAGCTTTTGTTATGTTGTTAATTATTATCATTTTATTTTTGAGTATTACAGTATAGTGTTTCACGTTAAGGTAACCTGAATTATATTCTCTTTAATAATTACTTAAATATGTTTATGTTGAGAACGTCTGATTGGCTGAAGGAAAGCAGGAAGTGGTTTAGTAGCCGGAAAGAGGTGTTCTCGTTGGTACTGCGGAGGCAGACGTTGAAAAATAAAAGCTACGTTCAAGCGAAGTCCATTTCTCCTTTTTGCCCATTCTTAACGTAGAGCCATCCATTCCAAAACTACGAACCCCTCAACTTACATTAACATGGAACTGCCAATGTGGAGTAAACAGTTTGAACTGGGCTATGTCGTTCGAACATACTGCAAAATCGTTCGAACAGAATGCATTCAAACAACTTTATCAATACGCATCGAGCACAAACACAGCTATGAACCCATGTTCCATAAACACCTGTATTTCGTAGTTAAAATCTTAAACACAAATCACCTTCACATGAGCTTCATCGATGTCATTAGCTAGCATACTCGCGTAAATAAGACGCTAGCACAAGTTGACATGATGTCGCGCATGGGTAAACATTTTTGTCTGTTGTTGTGCCAGGTGTCATGAGATTTTTGTTCATGTAAAATGGATGTCTCAATAACGGTTGGTAAACAATGCCTCATCCTGTCCCCTACTACAGATCACTGGCGCTATCCTGCTGGCAGTTGGAGTATGGGGCAAGTTGATGCTGGGCCCGTACATCTCGCTCATCGCTGACAACTCCACCAACGCTCCCTATGTGCTCATTGGCACCGGGACTGTCATTGTAGTTTTTGGCCTATTCGGATGCTTCGCCACATGCAGAGGAAGCCCATGGATGTTGAAACTGGTAAGAAGCTAACGATACCCTCCATGCATTGTGCCAGATTGAGACAAATTCCCTCCACCATCGCGGGAGTTGCATAAGCAAGACTAATGGATAGTAAAAGTGCTTGGGCCCGACCGATTATAGCACCTCAAACATTGGACAAAATAAACGACCAAATGTTTCATCCAATCTAATAAACTGGAGCAAAAACGAGCTGAAATAATTCCTGTTTTCATTCTTCTCCTTTCAGATTTACACCAAAATAATGTGATGCCATCTAGTGGTTGACAGTGGAAGTACACCCAAAATGCATGAGAGGCAGGAACTGTACCATTTTAAAAAAAAATCTGTGAAATACTGGGACCCAAAAGCCAAATCTGGAAGATAAGATGGAGAGGGAATTATAGCATTTCAAGTTTTCAACGGTGTAGTATTGCACTGCATCTTCCGAAGAACTGCTTTTAATATTTCGATGTCACTACCCAAATTATCGAAGAGCTCAAAACTGAGCCTTATTTTGCTGTACAGCGAGTGTTTCTCAGTCGTGTTCTTTCTCCCTCTGTGTAGTATGCCATGTTTCTGTCGCTGGTCTTCCTCGCTGAATTGGTGGCCGGGATTAGCGGATTTGTCTTTCGCCACGAGGTCAGCGTGCGCTTTATTTCAGTGCCAAAGTCGAGAAAGTGTCAATCCAAAACCACTCGTGTCGTGATGTCATTTTTGCACATTTCGCAGATCAAGGGAACTTTCCACAGGACATACACCGACGCGGTCCTCAACTACAACTCAGAGGACGAGGCGAGCCGCGCTGTTGACAACCTGCAGAACAGAGTAAGCCTACACAAGACTGGTTTATACGTTAAAGATCAGCACAGTGTGTTTGCTTGCAATTGATTAAATCAATTTCCTGCAAATCAAGGCAAATGAGGAGATGCGAACGTAAATATGCACTAAACACTTTTTAAATAAAGCATTATACACAGCTTGAACAATAACACCGGGCTTATAGAAAAATGAAAAAAAAATGTTTTTAAGTGAAAACATATTGCACATGAATTCAATAAAATTGGTACTGAAATGTTTAAAAATAAGTTTGTAAAGATTAAAACCAAATGTAGTTAATTTAAAAGTGAAATAATATCAGAACTGAGAGAGATGAACATTGCACTCATGATAGGCGTACCACACGGATCATTACTGATACCCTGGTTAATTTCTCTTTATAGTTATTTGAAGGTAAAGCTATATGACTTAAAACAGGGGTGTGTAAACCGGGTCCGTGAGGGCCCCTGTCCAGTATGTTTTAGATGTCTCCCTCCTCCACTCCAACACACCTGATTCAAATAATCAAGATCATTATCAGGCTTCTCAGACCTTACTGATGAGCTGATCATTTGAATCAAGTGAAAAAAATGACTAAACCAAAAAAAAAAAAAAATCAATACACACTTTGAGACTTGATTGCAATTTGTGCGTATGCACCTTCGTAGCTGCGCTGCTGCGGCGTGTACAACTACACCAGCTGGTTCGGCAGTGTCTATTATCCGTCCAACGGCATTCCCGCCAGCTGCTGCGTGAACTCCTCGGACTGCAACCCTGGCGACCTCCGTAACGCAACTGTGGCCCCCAACAAAGTTTATCACCAGGTTAGCGCTGCGCTTGGGTTTCACACACACACACACGCACGCACGCACGCACTCTGCATGAAAAGGTTTCACAGTTGTGTTGTTGACATGTGTTCTGATGCGTGTGTGTGTGTGTGTGTGTGTGTGTGTGTGTGTCTGTGTGTGTGTGTGTGTGTGTGTGTGTGTGTGTCTGTGTGTGTGTGTGTGTGTGTGTGTGTGTGTGTCTGTGTGTGTGTGTGTGTGTGTGTGTGCGCGTGTGTGTGTGGGTGTTGTTTGAATGCAGGGGTGCTATGAGCTGGTCACTTCGTTCATGGAAACCAACATGGCCATCATCGCAGGCGTCACCTTTGGCATTGCCTTCTCACAGGTAACGTGGACAAAATAAAAAGGATGTTAATAAATACTCCTTTTTAAAGTTTTGGACTATTTTGATGTTTTATTGGAATGTACTTGGTAGAGAACAAACAGATTGTTGTTGTGTTTTTGTGCGTGTGTGTGTGTGTGTGTGTGTTTTTCAGCTTATTGGCATGTTGCTGGCCTGCTGCCTTTCCAGGATCATCACAGCCAACCAGTATGAGATGGTGTAACTGACGTCACATGGCAGGTGGGAATGGGGGTGTGACTTTTATAACAAAATGAATAAATAAAATAAAAACGTCTCCTTTTGCCATTAATAATTCCATTGTCTTTTCAGTGAGATGAAGAGAAGATTAAAAAAAAGACACCGAGACTACTTTCTTTCCTTAAATCATGTTCGAACAGTTCATTTTTCCCTCCCTCCGTCTTGCTGCCTGTACCGTGGACATCATGTACAACACGTAGGATCACGTTAAGCCTCATTCCCACTCACCGCTCTGTGTGCCACACAACAACACATTGTCACACTGGCACTGACTGCACCGAAGGCTCGCTTTTTGCACACATTTGACACTGTTTTAATAGATGGGTGTAAAGTGTGTTTAAACGTCACGATTAATACGGGTACTGGACTCTTGTTTTCAAGGAGACGGAAGAAGAAATTTATTTAATCTGCTATCAGACGGTAGGGGGTGCTGTTGCACTGCAGTCTCTTTTTCTTCCCCCACTCAATTTGTGAACGAAGCGCAGGAACTGTGCGAATATTAGGACCACACCTCGAAGAAAATCAAACAGTGGTGAGGGGGAAAAATACTTTTGAAGCTTTTTTATAAATTTGGAATAAATTAAGTTTTATTTTTTTCAAGAATCAAAGTGGTGTTACGTGAATGAGCAACACTCGCACGCTGTAATGTTTTAGAACGCGTGCTTTTTATTGTCGTTACGGTTATATTCTGGTCAAGCTTTTTATTTTAAATAATTACTTTTGTGTGTTGGGATTTTTTTCCTGTTCCCCCCTAATTTTAATACTCGTTAATATTCATTTAAAACAAAAATGTATTATGACTATGATTAAATATTACAAATTTTCTCATTCAATTTCTATCACGAAATATTATAATTACGACTCCGAGGAATGTTACAATTTTATTTGCATAAAATAATTAGTTCTTTTTTTTTCCTGGTGAAATTATGAATTTTTATTGAACTATATTTCACTAACTTTAATTAATTTACATTTACATTTCTGACTTAATTCTTGATTACGAGAGTTTTTTTAATCAGGACATTTTAATCATCATTCAACATTTTTTTGAACTTCTCCAAGTTGTCATTTTTCTCTCAAATTAGGACTTTTTATTTTGGTCACATTTAATCTCCCAACCCTTCTCTCTAACTTTAAAAAAAAAATCTCCAAACGTTTTTTTTCCCCCTCCCATAATTTTCTGACATTCTTTGATCATAAATATTCTCATAATATTGCATCTTTAGTTTTAGCACAAAAATCATTACTTTTTCTGAATGTTCTGACTTTAGTATGTAATAATTAGACTTTATTCGCATAAAATTCTCACTTTTGTCGAAGTAAAATTCTGATTGTAACTGTTCTGATACAGCATTTAAAATTTGTTCTCATTAAATAACACAATTTTCTCGGATTCTTCCAATATTTATTCTCCAAAAGTGAAGACCTTTTTTTTTTTTTTTGCTTGTTATGCAGCACTACGTTTCAATTGAACTTTGATCCTCAGAGTGACAGTGTCATGTGTGTGGCGCATCAACAACACGCCGCTTTCATCATCATCATATCTGTAGATATGTACTGTAAATGCAATTTATAATAATAATAATGATGATGTAATGTTTAATTTGAATATGTTAATTGGCTGTGTTTAATCTGCTGTTTAGCCGTAAAGTATTTGTTTGTACTGACTAGTAATTTGTAGTGGCTGATGTTCTGATGTAGACTTTTAGTAGGATTTGGCATTACAGCTTCAACCAGTGATTCCCCCCCCCCCTTTGATTTAGGGATTTTTTAAATCACTTCTCAGTAACTTTTTGGCTGTATTTTTTCTTGTTCTTTCAGTGGCTCTTGAGTTGTACTCTGCTGTTGTACATTGCTTTGAGTACATGTATGCTCTTTTATCTTGTACATACTAAACAAAATCCAACTGTAATGCCATCCAGCTTTCACATGGGGTCACCACACACACACACACACACACACACACAGGTCACCACACACACACACACACACACACACACACACACACACACACACACACACACACACTACAAATCACCATACTGTCTAATATCAACAATGTCACCATCAGTGGTCTTATTATCAATAAACTGACAAAATGGAACATTTGTTTGTTCAAGATTGGTCATTGCTGTAATAATGTAATTTATGTTGAAGGATGACACTGAGAAGACTCATTACATGTAATTTCATTTTTAAAAACGTTCATGTAATGGTTGTTGGTCTGTTCTTGGAAGTGAGGGTGTCACATTATTAATTTTTTCATCAAGTACTGCTTTGGTGCCATAGTGCGGCATCTTGGGGTCAAGGAATTTAATTGAAGTGAGGGGGTGCGCTTCATTGAGTCAGGCTGCACCATCTTGTGGCATCTTATTCAATTAAAACCATTAAGCGAGGGGCCTGTCAACTGTGGATTTCGCTCTTCGCAGTGTTCTGTCTCTATAACCCTGTATATACAGCTGTAGAAAAACTTAAGACGCCCAAAAAACAGCCTTCTTTGTGTTGTGGCCAAATTTGATTTTCTGCAACTAAATGCTTCAAATGACAAGGGAATTCCCTGTAACTATTCAAGTGTACAAGTGCTGCTCAAATTATGTTAACAAGGAAATTGGTGGTGGGCCGGGGGTGCTTGAAATATCTACAGGACCGCAAAAAAAAAAAAAAAAAAAAAAAAAGAGATTTGGCAACCGGATGTAGGCCCCCCTCGGGCCTCGAGTTCGACACGTGTCCTTGGGAGACGAAGCAGGCGGCTGCGTGTAGTACCGCAGCCGTTCGCTTGAAGGCGCTGCGGCTTCAGGTGAAAACGTAACGTCCGAGTGAGCGCGAGTGAGGGGGAGAGGAAGAGAGCGAAGCGAGGGAGACGCTGCGCGGCGCTGCCTGCATCCATAATAAGGTCGGCAAAGCGGCGAGATGATGGGAAGGAGAGGCTATTACTCGGCGAAGCCCGGGCTGCTCGGGTTCGCTGCAACCTCGTTACACAAATTACCGGCGGAGCGGCGCGGCAGTGGGTCCGCTAATGGAGCGTGAGTGCCGCTGGCTTCCGCCCCCCAGCCCCCCCAACCACCGCCCCCGCCTTTCCCTTCCCTTCCGCCCCCCTCCCCCTTCATGCCTGATAGAGGCCAGAGGGAGACATCCACCGGGGAAGCGCGATTAGTCTGTCTTTTAATGTCTCTCACGCGCATACACGCCAACGCAGCGGCCGGTCATAATCAGCAGCAGCGTTAGAGTGAAACAAATGTTCGTTTAATTTCAATCTATGCTGTCGTATGCATTTATGAAAAAATAAATAAGTAAATATATATATTTATGCTAAACTACGCTGATGTGTAATTAGCGAGGGGTACTATTTAGAGGTGCGACTGCACGCCCCCCCCCCTTAGTAATTCACCGATTCGCAGACTTCGTGTTTACCTCGCAGACTCACCGATTCACTGCTTTTGGCCAAAGCAGGTATTGCTTTGTTGCAATCGATTGCGTCTTGGTGCCAATGAACGACAACAGAACCTTGGTTTTCATCATTAATCGGTTGCAGAAAGTCGGATTAAAATTGGATTGTATGAAATCTAAAGTTATATTTCCCATAGGAAATAATGTATATCCAAGTAATCCGCTCCAAAAATACATGGTTGCTTTGAGTGCTCTGGTGGTAGTGAAGTCAATTCGACTCACTCACTATAGGCAGCAGTGTGGCAAATAGTGAACAATTCATCAAAAAAGAGACTTCAAATGCCTCTAACAGGTGAAGTTTACTGTCAAACTAAACATCAAAGAATGAGAATTACACATTGTATTTAAAATCAACCAAACCGTTGCCGAAAGAAAGGCCCCGCTACAAATATATATAATGGAAAGCCCCATTGATATGCTCACGATTAGGACCAATAGTCGTGGTCGATTAATTGTCCTGCGGCTTACTGAGTCACTTACCTTACGAAAGTATTCTTCATTATTGTCTGCATGACTGTACTTGACTGTTGAATGCCAAATTTTTGGACCATTTCAGTACTATATAATTTGCCACTGCACACCTGTTGATCTCTCGCAGCACGATGGTCGGTTATCACTGCTCTGTAAGAAAACGGCGGAGGGGTTTCCACCACACCATCCATCTGCTGAATTTAATGGGGCACTGCTCAACTTTCCCCTTAATGCAAAAATGGTAGCAAAAAAATCCTGAAAGGATCATTTGATTCCATTTGTCTTAAGTGTGTGACAGCGCTAAGAGGCTGTTGTTGTGCAGACGACGTCTTTATTATTTAACGCCACCATTAGATGTCGTTTAGCGGTGTCCAAAGTGATGTAGCGGCGTCTCTTTGTGTTCATGTTGTTGTCGTTGCCTCTAATTGACGCTCACGCCTCTGGCCTCCCGCCGCCCCCCCTTCACAAAACACTTTTCACCCAACGCGGCTCCTCATCTGCGCTACCTCTGCCGCTTCCTCCCGCCCGCCTCTTTGAAGCCTCCGGGATGATGATGATGACACCCGGCGTAATCGCGGCATGAAGCACCCCGCGAGTGAGAAAGCCTTCGAAGCGCACGTGGCGGGTTTAGCGGCTGCCTTTGACGCCACTGCCTCGTATCCTACTGTGACAAGTGCAAAGGCTCAGGGAGAGGGGAGATTTTGAGGGGGTGGATGTCAGTGAGATGGGGCTTTGATTGACAGCCCTGTTGACAGGAGAGCACGGCTCGTGTGTTGATGGGATCTTGGCTCAGGTGCAGTTCAAGACCACAAGACTGAATGAGGTGCGTGCAGATGACGTTTCCCGGCTGTAATGGAAATTTAACACAGCGGACTGCGATATGTGATCTTACAATGATGTCTGAGTGAAGCAGCATGTGGCTCATTAGCCGAGGCCAAAATGAAGCAGCGATTTGGAAATTGCATACCACTACTTTGCAATGTCAATTTGAGCTGAATTAATTGTTCAGCCTAACTGTGTACACCGGTTAAAAGTAATGCTGCGGGATACGCACATCACAACATTTTGATCGATTTTTAATATGTGAGAGACCTCACACATGACGACCAAAAACTATTCTCATTTTTGGCAATTGTGCAAACAAGTTGTTTGACTTATATATTTAAGTTGG